GTGGACTACATCGCGCCCTGGTGGGTCGTGTGGCTGCACAGGGTCCCCCACCTCAACCTGCGCCTGCAGCCCGTGGACAGCACTTTCAACCCCCGCAACGAGAGTTACCAGGAGGTGAGTCCGAGGCCCCGAGGCCGGACCCCGCGCCCCACGGCGCCCCCGGGAGCCCAGAGTCCGCTCTTCGCCCCCTCGCCAGCCAGGACCCCTCGCCCCTCGCCCCTTCCCCCAGACACCTTTGGCCCCCGACCCCCAGCCCCTCTCTCCGGGGAAGCTGGAAAGATCGGGGCGCAGCGGGAGGAGGGGGCCGAGGGAGGACTCGGCTGGGAGAGTGGGGCGAGCGCACCCCGCGGGGCGGGCAGCGACACCGGCTCCAGCTCCGGGTCTCCCGCGTAGGGCGGGGGGACACCTATCTCCCCGCTTCCGAAGCTCCGAGCCGCGGCCGCGGCGGCCCCCGAGAAGTTTGAGCCAAGCCGCCGGACTCTTCCCTGGCTTCACGGGGCAGCGCCCCTCCCCTCCCCCCGGCCGCCGGCCCACCCGCGGGCCGAGTCACTGGGTGCCACGGACCCCAGCTCTGGGTCCCCGAGAAGCTCGCGGGACTGGAAGGAGGTGGCCCCAGTCAGACCCGTCCCACCCCGGCCAGTAGAGACCCCTCCCCCAGTGTGGACACCCACGTCTTCCCTTTGTCCTGCACTTGGCCTTGCGCCACCCCATCCTTGGCACCTAGATCCTGAAGCCCCCAGCCCACTTACCTGGGCCCCGGGCCCCGCTTGAGGGCGCGTGGCCCCGAGTTTCTGGGACCTTGGCTTCCCAGCCCGCCCCTTCGCTCCGTTCTTGGACCTTTGCCCCTTCCTGGTACTTCCCTCTGCGGTTTCTGCACCCCAGTGACACGCTGGGAGGCCACTGCTATGCCCATGTCCACCTCCCCCCCGCCCCTACTCAGCTCTGCTCCCGGCCGGCGCTGCCCCTGACTCCCGGCCCTCCACTGGGCCATAGATTCCGGGGTGAGCTCTGGGACCCCGCTACGTGCGCCTCCGAGGACCGTGCGCCCCTGCGGGCAGTATCAGGTTCTCCGGCCCGAGGAGCTGGTCCGGGCCTCCCAGTAGGCGGGAGGGGGGGCGGGGAATCAGCTGTTGCTCCTGCCCCCACCCCCACCCTAGATCTTTTTTCTGCGGGGCTCAGGGACCTGGTCGGGTGTGGGGGGCGCCGTGCCTTCCAGCCCCTGGCACGCGGTGCCTGCCCTTCCAGGGACAGAGAGAAGCCCCTCCGGTCGGGAGGCGGGGACCCTCGGGGAAGTGGAAGCCGGTCCGCCCGGCACACGCACTGCTCGGGATCTGTTGGTCACGCCCTCCGCCGGAACCGTTGGGAGCCTGAATCTGGGGACACGCCACCTGCCCGCGGGGCGCCCTGGGGAATCTTACACTCCCGCCGAAAACAGAGGGCGGATATGATTTCAGAGACAGCTGCGCTGGGTGCGCGCGTGTTTGTGTGTGTGTGTGTGTGTGGTGGGGGGGGGTGCCCCAGAACCCGTACCTCTCCACTGGTGGACACTGGGTGGGTCAAGAAGACCCGCCCTCCTCCTTGCCCAAGGAGCACACTTCTCTGGCGGGCATATGTGGTGGGTGGGGGCTGTGCCTGCTCCTTGCACAGCTGAGCCAGAGAGACCCCCACCATCCCCCGACCACACATACACAGACCCTTACTAGGATCCTGGGCGGCCCCTTCCCATCAGCCTCAGCTGCTGGGCAGAGGACAAGGGTTCTACCTGTGACCTCCTGCCCTCCGTGGGCCTCCCAAGGACACCTGAGGAGGGAGACAGGAGTGGGGGCAGATGAAGAGTTTGGCCCCTGGGGGTTATTTATGGCGGTTCCTAATGTGGTAGGTTCCCCTGTGGACTGACCACGGAGTCTTATGCTTGTGTGTCGGTGGTGGTCAGGTGGCAGGCCAGGGGAGGCCATCGACAGGGCTCCCTGCTCTCAGCCTGCACTTAGCAAACTCAACAGGGAATGAGTCCTCCACAAAGCAGGGCGACCAAGGTCATCATAGCAGGTGGGGCTCCCCCGAGCAGTTTCTGGGCCTCTGAGGCCAGGCCGTGGGGGTTAGGGGCTCGCCCATCCAGCCGCCTGGCAGGAATCCCAGTTGTCATTTGCTGTGTGACCTTGGGCAGATGTCTCAACCCCTCTGAGCCTCACTTCCGTACTCTGAAAGCATTACCAGAGACAGCCACAGTAGCGTGCTCATGAGTACGTAGCGCATCGCGGGGCCCAGTGGTAAGAATCGTTCACCTTGAGCTGCAGCTCCGTGTCGAAGGCCAGTACCTGCCAGGGTACAGAAGACCGAGTGTCGGGGAATGGTCAGGAGCAGCCGCAAACGGCAGGGATGGCTTTAGCGCATTCCAGGGTAGAGCGTGGGCTGGGGATCCAGTGCATGCTCGCATGTACACGTGTATGTACGTGCGCGTGCCCAAACGAAAGACACGGTGGCGAAGGGGAGGGGAGACGCGTCGTGGACACCGTTTCGGGGGTGGGAAGCATTGACCCGAGGTTCTAGAAGGCCATGGAGGAGTGGGTAAAGGAGCAGAGGGCTGAAAGGGGACTTCCCTGGAGAACCCGGGTCTCCTGACCGAATTCCATTGCCCAGGCGGGCGTGGGGAGGGCGGGCATCCAGCTGCAGGCTGCCCATGTGGCCCTGGGCCTGCAGGGGCACACACCCCAGACCTCAGCCTGAGCTTTCTCATCTGTCACAGGGCAGAAAGAGCACCTGACAAGAAAAGAGGTATCGATCTTGTGTCCGGTGGCAGGCCCCCCCCCTTAATTGTCACAGGTACCTTGGTGGGAAGGGGGAGACTCCAGCCAGCCGGGGTCTGGGCTGAGGGAGCAGAAAGGGCACCTGGTACCCAACCCAGCTGGGCATCCCCAAAATAAGTTACTCAGGGTCCTGGGCTCACAAGTGTTGGTGGCACTGGTGCCAGCCACCCACCCCCTCAGGGGAAAGCAACCCTGGAACCCTCTTTCCTCCCCCTCCACCCGCCCCCCAGCAAACAGATTGTGGTCCAAGCACTGGTTGTCTCCCTGCAGGACTGACCCCCTGCTCTTAGTGGGTAGGAGTCAGGAATTAGAATCAATCGGGGGGTTCATTTCAAGTCATACAGTCCCCAGAGTCCCAAGTGTGTGTCCTCGAGCCTGGGGAGGCACAAGACGGGGCCCCTCCAGAGAGAAGGCCAGAGACCAAGAAGAGGAAGCACTGTCCATCGCCATCGCTGAGCACTGAGTCACGGTCAGTGGACAATCATGCTGGCCTGAGGCAGGGGGACCAAACCCACCCCTACCTGGAGTCGATTCTTCTGCCCCACCCAGGTGCTTCTTGGAGTCTAGACCCAGCACCCACCAAAATCCAAAGCTATACCCTCTACCGTGCATAGGGACCCAATAGGACAGACAGGGGAACCACCCCTGGGGGTTTTCAAAGCTGTGGCTCTTTATGAAGGCCGACTGAGCCCCTGTGCCCCCAGCCCCCAAAACCTCTGCTGTCCGGTCAGTTTGGACTCTAGCTGCCTCGGACTCTGTACGGCATCCAAACAAAGCACTGCTCGCCCTGCGCCATCCACACAATTGCCTATGTGTCTGGGACCATTGTCTCAGCGCCTGGGACAATCAGCCTCCTCCTCCCTTTTGGCTGACCTTCCACCGTACAAGCATGATGTCCTTCTCCAGGGCCTGGTCTCTCCTGATAACATGTCCAAAGCACGTGAGACAGAGCCTCACCATGCTCGCTCCTAAGGGAGCCTTCTAGCTGTGCTTCTTCTAAGACCGAGATTGTCTGTCCTTAGTGGTCCCCCGTGCTTTCCGTAGGCTTCATCAGCACCGCCATTCCAATGCGCCGCTTCTTCTACGAGCTTCCTCACCCAGTGTCCGACTTCCACCTGCATGGGAGGAGACTGAAAACACGAGGGCTGCATTAGTAGGCCACTGGACATCCCTTGCAGAGGGGTCTCGGGGAGGAGACGAGCCAGTCAGGGTACGATGTAGCAACGATGAAAAATACAACTTTCCTCTAGTTCCTAATGCTTCCTCCCCGCCCCTCCCCCCACTATCATGATACCAATTCTACCTTGCAAGTGTGGCTAGACCAGAGGATGTACACTGGTACAGATAGGAACTGGAAACACAGGAAATCCAGGGCGGATGATCCCTTCAGGACCAGTGGTGTGAGTGGCGATACTGGGAGGGTAGAGGGAGAGTGGGTTGGAAAGAGGGAACCGATTACAAGGATCTATAGGTGACCTCCTCCCTGGGGGATGGACAACCGAAAAGTGGGTGAAGGGAGACGTCGGACAGGGTAAGATATGACAAAATAATAACTTATAAATTATCAAGGGCTCATGAGGGAATAGAGGCGGAGGGAGAGGAAAAATGAGGACCTGATGCTGGGGGCTTAAGTGGAGAGCAAATGGCAATGAATGTACAAATGTGCTTTACACAATTGATATATGTATGGATTGTGATAAGAGTCGAATGAGCCCCTAATAAAACGATTTTAAAAAAGAAAAGAAAATACGAGGGCTGGGTCAGGCGCACTGACATCCTTGCCCTTCAACACTTCAGAGAGGTCTTGTGCAGCAGACGGACCCCATGCAAATCTACTGCGTGATTTCTTGAATGAACGTTGGTTGTGTATCCAAGCCAACTGCCATCCTGACTCCCAGCTGCCCTACAGGGGCTTTCTGTACCTGTAAACGTTAGGCGAGCAGGCAGCCTTAGCTCTCTCCCAAGGACAGGTTGGTGGCTTTGAACTGTCGACCTTGCAGTTAGTATCCTAGGCCACCAGTGCTCTTGGGTCCCCACCCCAGCACTCCCCGAATGCACATTGGTGCCCCCTGGCCTCCATTTGGGTCCTGGGTTGGTGCAGTAGGTGTCTCCTTACCTGAGAACACTCAGAACGAGTTGACAAGGGAAGGGAGGCTGCTGGGGGTGGGGTGGGGAGGTGGTGGCTGCTGCAGGGGGCAGGGCCGAGGGCACAGGTGATATGAGACATTGTCCTTGTACAGTAAGCTTCTCTCTGGAGCTTCAAGCTCTCTCACATGGGGCCCCTGTGCCTCTGGGAGCTGCCGCGTTAAT